AATATGGGTAACCGTACTCGGCGCTCAGTACGCCAACTCAAGGAGCGAATCAGCGCACGTAATCCCGACTATAATCTTAGTAGCACAGCAGACCTTATTCTTCGCCTCCTTGGTAAGAAAGGATTCATTGACGTCAAGACTTGTCGCGTTGGCGTGCCCGTGGCGAGTGCGATTACAAGCTCCTCTCGCGTTAAAGGCAAGAAGGATGAGCGAAGCCTAGCGGAGATGATGAACGATAAGACGGAAATGGGCGACGAGAATATCACAAAGATGGTTTCGAAAGTCGGACGATGGTGGTATAACCGATGCTACGAGACCCCAACCGGAATGACTACCAGTATCTGGAACGACAAGTCTTTGCTGGCCGAGTGCGAGGAGTGGGGAACGAGCCTCAAGCTTATGGTATGCCATGCAAGGATGCCCGAAGTAGGAGGAAGAGTTGCAAGCCTATGATATGCCTTCGGCATATAGTTTCCTGATGATCCTTATATCTTTACGATGTCTTCGACGACCCAGCTTTTTGGAACTCGAAATCCTCGAGCCTCTCCGTTGGTGGAGTTATTCCTTTCCTTATTGGACAACCTAATCTCTATCGACGTGTACAGAATCTATACTATCCTGGACTCATACTCCCTTGCACTATATTTCCATTCGAAATTGTCTCACGGGAAAAATAAATTTACACGAGAATCGCGAGAAATCATTTAAGATCTAAAGATGGCGCAAGCCTATCATGAAAATCTATTTTTTTTTTTTTACTTAAGCATAAGAAATGGCAGGAACCAGAAGACTCGAAGTCATTGCATATAAATAGGAGACCGGTAAAACAGTACGGCTTCAACAAACGAGTTCGCCCTTCCCTTGACTGGGATCATAGCGAAAATTTTTCATTTCTGGATATACGAACTTTTATGCATCTATTTTACCTACCTACCTTTCTAACCAGGCTTGATAGCCTGGCAAGATCTACTATCTAATACTTTATTGCTCATTGTCGCGGGACCGGCCTCCAGGAGAGCTCCATTGCATCTTATCAAGAGCATTTGGGAGTTGGGTTAGTTACATGGGTATTTAGGAAGGAGGCTTGGTTTCTATTGGGTTATCCCGCGGTAATGGCTGGCCATCACGCCCTTACGATAGTATCACCAGTAGTCGGATTTATGAGTGTGCGGTGGGTTCTGGAAGCGAAACGATACTGGGGGAACTACTCGAGGCGACGTGCTTTGTGGCGAGTGGAATGGTCTGGAAAGAAAGACATGATGAACTTATGATACCTAATGACGGATGTGGAAGCGCGGGAAGCCTTGAAATTGGTCACGAGACGGAGATTATATGAATGTTCAGAGCGAGCGTAGCAAGTCTAGAGATACCCCATTCTTTTCCGATAATGAAATATTATTCTAAATCAAATCTTCGTCTTTTTGCTTTTGTTGAGTGATTTTCATTCGAGGTAACTTCTATTTGCTTTACTGCTAAGATTTTCGGGGTCTGTCCGGTACCTAATATAAGCCTCCTTGAACGCCTTCTATGTCAATGCTGCAATCCTCAAGTACATAAGCTAAGCTACGAGACTTGGGTATATAGTATATACATGTTTTGTACGATTGGGTATTGGTATATGCAAGTTCCGTTCCTTTCCCTTTATACATATCCTACATCATCCGTCTACATCTGACTTCGTACATGCCGGACTTATTAGCAATCCCGGTGGCTCCTGGCCCCGAGACATGTCCGTCTGCATATATCCCTTCCCTTTTTAATCCAAGCGAAGTCATTAGGAATAAATCGTCGTTCTCCTCCTAAACAGGACCTCGGCAGTCATGCTCGGACTCTTAGTCATCATAAACATGTTGGGTGCCGGCCGGCCCTCACCGTCCCGTAGCTTGATATCGTAGTTTAGCAGCAGGTACGCGAGGACCATCTTGATCTCGCAGCCGGCGAAGAAGCGGCCCGGACACGCGTGCTTTCCCAGTCCGAAGTTCATGGCTGTGTCGCCGATGCTGGTGAACTGCCACCGCCCGTTCGCGTTTATCGAGGGTTCGTCTGTCGTCGTTGAAGTTGAAGTTGAAGTTGAAGTTGAAGTTGGTAGGGTAGCGGTAGAGGATGCGGGTGAAGAGAAAGAGGAGGAGGATGATGAACGTTGATGTTGTCGGAGTTTCCAGAATCTCAGCCCATCGAAGACTTCGGGGTCTGGATAGTATCGCGGGTCGACGGCGACGCCGGCCATAGGCGCGAGAAGATTGGTGCCCGCTGGTAGGTGTGTTCCGTCGGATAGATCGACTGGTTTCATTACTTTGCGTATGAAGGATGCTATATAAGTTAGAGCGCGTAATTTTGAATTTGATTTACTTGGACGGCACTTACTGACGTTCCCGGACAGTCGCTGAGACTCTTTGATAAAACTATCGAGTTTCTTCAGCTTGCCCATGCTATCTTTCCTCTCCCATGCCTCCTCGTCGTTTAATACTTCACGCGCTTCTTCGCGGAGTATCTCCTGCATGTCTTGGTGCACGGCTAGATCGTAAATGCAGTCCGTCGTTAGATTACTCGTTGTGTGAATCGACGCCGCACTTAGTAGTAGCTGTATCTTGCTCTGAATATAGAAGTCTGTCTTCTGGTCCTCGGGCAAGGCATCCTGTAACCATTGGACAAAATCGTCGGGCTTATCGTACCCGGGGGTCTCTGCGTCACGGATGCGCTCCTCGATAATAGGCGTAAGCATCGCCTGTGCCCTCTCTAGGTCTCTCCGGATCGTGCGTAGCTCGGAAACCAAGTATTGCGCTGCAGGGCGCATCCACGGCGGGAAGAATTGTAGCTTGATAACCGCGATGAAGGCGGTGATGGCGAAGTTAATGCTCACATCCATCCATTCCTCTGTCCGGTTCAGCAGTGGCCCAACGAAGACACGCCCACTTAGACGGGCAATCGTTCGGACCATGAAAGGCTGTATCTTGAAGGGAGTCCATTCTATTATCTATCAGTTGACTAGTCATTTTGAGTGTCGTCTGCATAATCTACCTTGACACTCGGGAAACTCGGTGGCGATGATGTATTCGAGCTCCTCCTTGAGCTGTGGCGTCATCCTTGCCAGCTGTCCAGTCATCTTGCACTTCAAGAGCAGGGACAGCGTGTCAGAGTGTAATCCCGCGCAGAGGTTGGTATACTCGCTCAACATAGCCTATGTGATATCGTTAATGTCTCAGTTTCCACGAGTTTGGTTCTCTTCTTAAAACTAACCTCTTTAACAGCCGTCCTCGCGCTCAGAGTATCTTCTGGGAGACCCTTGAGCTCACCGACTAGTGACGACGGGATGATAGTTCTTACACCCTCTGTCGATTTGACCTGGTACACAGTATCACGGAACTAAAATTCTTTTAGCACTATAGACCTTTCCAATGACTAGGGGTTACAGACCTTGGAATAGCTATCCTTGATCAAGATATCGGCATTGAACATCCATTTTAATCGGGATGCCTGGTAGAAAGGTGCCGAGACGCTGCATTTCTGCTTGTCTGACTGAAATAACCATATACAGAACAATACTGCACTGATAGCTACATAATAGCTTAGACGGCTACCACCTAAGACTTGACTGGGCAACGCGTCTGCGACGATGGTGAAGTTGGTGTGAGGACTAGCATCCTCTATTATGGACGGCATCGTAATGAGAAGAGAAGAGTTTGATGAGAGGAAAGGAAAGATGGGTTAGGAGAAGGGGGGAAGGAATGACGTTGTTCTCGCTTTCGGCTTGACCATGAGCGTTGTCGTTTTTGATAGAGCCGCCGTGGGTGTAATTAAAACGAATCCGAGTAGACTATTATAGTCAGAGAAGGCAAGCAGATACCGGTATGATCCGCGATCCACGCAGCCAACCCGATTTCAATGGCAGTACTATAAACACCAATCCTTATACAGAAGATCGTATAACTTTGATTGTATCGGTCCTATGCCGAATGTAATAAAAGTCGAAGGTAGAGACTGGCAAACGAGGTATTGAGTCTTCCTGCTACCTGAATAGTAACTATGACGTCTAATGCGTAATTAAAGTATATTAACAGAAGACAAGGACGTATTAAGATGGAAGAAAGAGAGAAAATAAGAGTATGAAGTTATTGTTCGATCAACGAACTATAGATATTAAAACATTTCGACTATGTAAATAGAAAGTACGTTTCTCGCGACAAAGAAGTAGGGGACGTTCGCGACTCCGTTGCGATGAGCATCCTTGTAACCCTAACAGAAATAGAAGTTCCGGCTCATATTTGATACTTGACGTCTATTATTTTGCTAGAAACTAGTGTATGTACCTACCTAAACAGCTCGTGACACCTAAGGGGTTAAACCTTGTTGCTGTTCTTGGTTTCCGACCGGGACGCTGAAACGGGAACTAGTAAATTGAAGCTAAAAAACCCCGGGAGATGCCATCTCCGGGACCCTGGTCGACTCCACTTCGCCGGTTGGAGCGCCTCACCTTTTCTGTTTTAGTAGAGTTTATAGTTTTAAGTCTTGTACAAACACCACTTACCTATAGTATCTTTTAAGATAATCTCTAATAAGATCAAACATCAGAGGATTCGATATCTAAATTATCATCAATCATTATTATTTTACCATAAATACTTCAAGAATAAAATCCACTCGCAAGCTTTTCGATTTCAGTTCATCAACCTGGTCTTTTAAGCTGGCTCCGTGGCCCTTGGCACCGTCTCAGCGAGCAGATCCCCGACGAGAACTTTTATCCGCCCGACTTAACAAGTCTGATCTTCGTGCGTAAAACTCGGTCGTTTTGGCTATCCTATATCTTTTCCCTGGGTCTCCCCTGTGCGGTCCGAGCGACTAGTAGATCTATAATCCGACAAGCAATTCGGGTCATCTTAGCGATGCAACAAGCATGGGAGAAGCTAGGATTCCGGCAATTATTCGCGACACCTTGATTTCCTATGACCTACAAGGCAACTTCAGCCGCATGAGTTCATGCGCCGAGACGGCCCCGTAGCTGCGGCATGTCTTCCCTAAAGCTTCGACGAGGCTTGAATTGTTCTTCTACCCACTTTTCTTATAATGTGTTGCCTCTCTCAACTCTGGTGGTTGTTTGATGGGCCGTGAAAATAGTATGAAGTTATTACCGACGAATGCATCGACAGTTATGAGGATGGAAAACACCTATAACAATACAAATAGAGCCTATGGGCTATTTCCTACTAATCAGTACGCATCCGTACCTGGTTTGTCACTGCAGACTCAGCCCATCTATATATGTCTAATTGGTCAAAAGCACCGCGAGGCTTTGCGATGGGCTTACTTGCACCTCCATGGAGGCGATGCATCTGGGAGGCATGGTTACTTCTAAGTATGTTAGAAACGATGCGAAGGTAGCCAGCTACGACAACGTATACACTTACTTCATCAGCACACTTCTCTTGGAATTATACTATCTTTAAGGATACGACTTAGCAACAATGGAGGCCCTCGTAGCCGTCGGACTTGCATCGAACGTCTTGCAGTTCGTTGACTTCTCAGCTAAACTAATCCGTATTTCGAATGAACTCCGAAATGATGCAGCCTCGTCAGAAAACAGAGATCACCAAGTGATTACGACGCATCTGAAGGCCCTCGCTCAGGGCATCAACGACTCAGCTAAGGCGATCTCTCAAACTTCTACAACAGCTTCACCCGAAGAAAAGGTACGCAAATTTTAGGCACTTTCGATCGTATTCTCCATAGCTTGAAATGCTAATGCCGGATAAACAACAAGGCCCTCCAACCAGTAGCCGACGAGTGCTGCAAGCTTGCCGATAGCCTCCTCACTCGCCTCAAGAAGTGCGGTATCCCGCATGGCCAGAATAACAGCCGGCTTCAGCGTGTCAAGACAGCTTTCAGAGTCATTTGGAACAAGAAGGAGATAGAGGAGATATCCAATAGGCTGCAGTTCTTCAGGAGTGAACTTACTCTCCATTATGTCTCCCAGAGTAGACAGACACAGTTACACCAAGTGACACGACAGTCAACCACGGATGACATCCAGACGACACTAGGAAAGCTTAATGATCTAAAGAGGTCAATTGATGATGTGAAGTCTGACCTAGGAAGGACCGCGAATGATCAACATTTCGAAATCTTAAACTCCGTTAAGGAGGCACGGAATGAAAACACACTATTCCACACCCAAGCAGCAGAACAGGCTATTGCGGATCGCTCCTTAGTCAACCAAGAGCTAGGGGATCTCCAGGCCTCGATGAAAAATATTACTACGGGCCTTCAGCACATCCAGGTTCGACAGTCGGAGACACTGGAATCCCTTGCTCATGTGAAAGTAGAAAACTCTACATTTTTCGCCACGGTAACCCAGCAAATTCCCTTAGCTAGCGATTCCAGTACCCTAGTCCACGCGCTTCGGCCCCTATTGGAGCAGTATAAGGACGAATTAATCGCAGGAGTCAAGAAGGAATTCCAATCCGCGGCCCGGACTGGGTTCGATAGCATCATTCAAAACGCACCTGCTGCACTCGACGAGATGCAACGTCGCAGTAGGACAGCACAGCATGATCCTAAAAGGGTGGTGGGCGAGAGTAAAGAGACGACCGAAATAGATTTGTATACTTATGAATCGTATACTACCCCCTTCGAAGATCCGAACCCCTTGCTCCTCAAGAGACAGGCTCTTGGCCGGCCAGATAAGAACAGTATAACGATGCTCTACCAGCGCCGGCGGAGATGGAAAACTATACTAGGAAATTTGATTCTTCGCATCCGAGACAGAGTCCATTTTAACGAATACGGGCGCCCAACAAAGATGTACGAGCTTACAGTACAATTTACACCGTCGCTAAGTTGGCTGTCTACGGGCTTCTCAATGACGTACGAGAACAAAACCGATGCGAGAGGAGGCCCCGAGTTCGGTCTTAGGTTAAAGACATATCGCGTTCTTCCAGACGACCATGAAGTGTTTCGTGCTATAGTGGACGGTGACGTCTGTACTGTCCGGAATATGTTGTCGCAAAAGCTTGTTTCACCTTCAGACCGACATTTAAATGGATGGACATTGCTCATGGTAAGTTTAGATGTCAAAGGCAACTGTGATACTCAATTATGCTAAGCGAAGTTAGGAAGCCGTGTATATCGGTGAATTGAATATTTGTAAAGCACTCGTACAGAGTGGTGCAGATATCAATGCACGTAATGACGTGTAAGTACCTCCTAATCCATATTATAACTATACCCGTTATATTATTAGAGGAAGCCCGTCCTAACACGATCACTCGTATCAGTGACGACAATGCTATAACCCAGGCAACTGATCCGCATTGTTTAGGCAACAATATTGAAGGCCGAGCCATATTCCACTACCTCCAAAGCCTCCCTGGGATTGAAATCGAACACTTCTGGCAAAATGAAGGGCTAATAGTATCTGCGATAAATTCCATGGCGATCTTCGAATTTTGTGATGTACCACTCAAGAAGGTTCTTGAAGACTGGGTGTCAGTCTGTCAATTCGTGGATGTTGATTTCAACGTCTTCGACCTGACTTTCCTAGAGCATGTCGTATATGGATTTTCGCGCGGAGATGTGAACTATGCCAACACTATGGATGAGCTTGTAATAATATTCGATTTGGTTGTCCAGCAAAGAATTTGCCTCGCGGGCTCGGTAGATCCCATGGATTCATTATCTATGTGGTTCGTTTCCTTTCGCATGGCCATTGAAGTCTTTGAAGTTCGCGAGAATTCGCTCATAGCGTACGAGCCTTCGCCTATTTTATCGGTCCCTTACCGTGGGTTTTTTCTGCACCCTGACGTGGCCCGCGGCATTGCATTCCTTGACTACGTCATGTTGAAGAAAATCGCCGAATGCCCTGACTGTATTTTCGACGAGGATGAAGGCCTTACGATATCAGACTGGTTCTACGACAAAGAATATCTGCAAGATATATGGGAACAGATACTGGAAGACTGTGGATTTGATTTTGATTGGGTTTACCATGAAGATAAGAGACGGAAACGCGTGGTTCTAGGAGAAAGCTCGACTCACGATATCAGCGTTGGGCCGGATACTTCGAAAATACTCGAGGTAAGGCGCCGACAAGGCTACGAGAACTCTGATGAGTAAGATGCGTGCGTAAGAGGGGTCTAGTTTCGGTTTTATGGTATCCAGCTTCATAGAATTGGTTAGGAGTAGTGCTGGTTTCGTATACTCGTTTTTTGATAGGTAGAATAGGTAGAATAGGTAGACAACCGCACTATTTTTTGAACTTGCAAAACGCACATATATAAGCTCCAATGGACGAGGAAAACAGAAAGTAGTCGAAATATCATTCCACTCCCATGGAAGATCAGGGTATTACAATATCTATGCTTCTAAAAGTCCTTAGGCTTGAGTAGGAGATAAATATGAGAACCAAAATGCCAATAAACCTAAACCCAATACTTCTCAATAACGCAGATATGCCATGAATTCATTTACGCTTCTCTGATGCCTTAGAAGCTGTCTAGGTAATTTTACACGACATGACCCCCTTCGCCGTGATATCCTCTTAAAACGCCATAACATTTGAATCCCACCGCCTACCCTAAGCGCTTCCAAGTCAACCGACCCCTTTTTTTTCACTCCAGTCTTAACCGGATCCTTAACAAAAGACGAGAAAATCATCCAGATATAACTCAACGCCGAGCCCTAAATCAACTACATTATACGGTATTAGCATTAGTTTTTTGTCCCCGCCACGTCCTCCTCCGTAGCACAAGGCTCAATAACATCCGCCATCTGAGGTTCCTGCTCCTCCGCCACTTCTGTGCCCGCCTTTACTTCGCCGTTGTCATCCACTACCTCGCCCATACCCACGATATCGATCCACCGCCAGGCGTCCACAGTCTCATGCCCACTACGGTCTAGGATCGCCTTGTCGTCGTGGATACCGTCTTCAGGGCTCCTATCTCCAACTTCCACTTCATGATTTCCATCTCCACTTTCGTTTTCGCTCCCTTCAACGTTTTGACTAGTCGTCGCATCACCATCAACACCATCGACAGTCGTAGTTCCATTCTCGCTCCCTCCTAGGTTCTTCCCGATAAACGCGCCATCGATCAGATCCCCCGTCCACGTACGTGCGACTGGAACGCCGTTCGCTCGCAGGACTTGCAACATCGCGCGGCGGTTAAGCCGGAGGGCACGCTCCGGCTCCTCGGAGCCGAAGACCCTGCGCGTGAGCCGCGGGAACAGGACTCCGAAATCTGACTGGGACAAGTGCGCCGAGCGCTCTACAAAGAAGAAATTCGGCTCGGGGAGCTTAACGCCCGACGCGTTATCCTCGTAGAAAGCGGTGGCTTGCACCGTCGGTGCTGACGGGTCCGGTGACAGTACCCGCGCCGTTGCATGCAAGTGCTCTTTCCACTTAAAGAAATCTTCTGATCCGATCGCTAAAAGCGCGTTGCCGCCCGGCGACGAAGGGTTGTCTGCGGCGTACATGGGGAGCGGGAGGTTGAAGAGAGGTTTTGTGGTGCTGGCTAGGAGGGGGAAGCACCACATATCGAGGAGGATGGCGACGTTGCGCGGTGTGATTTGCTTGTAGATCGAAGAGTCGCGGGATGGCACGTATAGCTGCTCGGGCATGGCTTCGAGCTCTGGGCGGCCGGCGTAGAATACGGATTTGAGGAACTGGACGACGGTGGCTGAGCCGAAGCTGTGGCCGGCGAAGATGATGCTGCCCGGCTCGTGGACGTGCAGTTTTCCGATTAATGGAGAAAGAGAAGGAGTGCTCTTGTTTAGATTTGTTAGGGACAAGCCCTTGTCGATGCCTAGTATAGCCTCGTGAATCAACCCCATCTCCCACAACCGTATTCGGAGTTGATCGTTGCGCAGAGCGTATACCTCGTCCGTAGCGACGTGTGATACGCGGAGGTAGGGGACCGTACGGCGCGTGCTGCGTACGAAGTACCGGTCTTGCTGTGAGGGGATGCGGATAAAGGATGCAACAGCGCTGCCGTCCCTGTGCTCGGGACATATTACCACGACACCATGTGAGGCCAGCGAGCCTACTACCTGCGAATATGCGTTTCTACTGCCGCCAAGACCGTGGGAAAATATGGCCGTCGGCCACCGTTTGTTCGGGGTGTTGGGTTCGAGTACCGGCGCATTCTTAATAACGGGGATCGAAGTGTAGTGTAGATGTCTCGGGAGGAAGCTGTTACAAATTATATATAAGCTTATGCCCGAAAATTATAGTGATAGGAGTTCATTGGACTTACGAGATGGCCTCTGCTAGTAGTTGGCCAATTCCTAAGAATTGGATGTAGGCAGATAGATGTTCGCGCTGAGGAGCCGGCAGCCACGTTATGCGCCTGCCCTGGGAATCCGGATGCGCCGGATAGAATATTCGGAATTGTATCGTCTCTATGTCGGCCGCATTGCTCGGTGCCGGAGCCGGCGATTCGAGTTCTGAGACTGGGATCTCAACGTCGACGGTGCCAACCTTGTAGGGTCCCGTATACTCCACGAATCCCGGTATTGGGTTCAATCGCGACAGGAGCGAGCTCCATTTGTCGGTTTCTGAGGGATTAGTCGGTTGCGCCATGGATCGTCGCCAACGGCTCTCGGTCTCGTTCTCGTAGTTATATAGGTGAATATGTCAAGTTGCCAAGTGTCGTTTGCAATGAGATCTAGTTTACTACGGTAATTGTTCCTTAGTTTAAATGCTCGCAGATAAAATATGACACAAAAAAAGACCAAGCGAAGATTTGATGCGAAGATTTGATGCTATGACCGAGGATGAATATGAAAAAGGCAATTTTCTCGAAATTTCGTCCGTGAGGCGTCGATAAAAGAGACAAGATTAAGGGTTCGCCGGCGCGAGGGGAAAAAAATGTATTAGTTGACCGAGCACAGCCTCGCCGCTTTGCCCCAAAGTTAGTTACTTTACAAGTTGTAAAGAAAACATTTATTTATAAAAGTATATCATTGAATTTTAGAGGGGTATAAGTTTAATTCATTAAAACAATAGTATGTAATATTTTGTAAGAGTTAAAAGACTGAAGTATATCGTGAAATGGTCTGACGGAAGTCGGCAGCTAAATAAAACCCAAATTGTTAAAGTTGGTTGATTGATTCGGCCAATAATAGTCTACAATTCCTTGGCCTCTTCAATTGTTTTAGCTGGCCAACACGTCATCAATTTCGCTACGAATCCAACGCTCTCTATGTAGCCCCTTAATATCAGTCTTAAAACAACGTTATCTAGAGAAAGTTTGCCTTCAAATCTGTGCACTTGAATGAATACAGGTAATCACACAATAGTCGCGTGTTCTCGATCCAAGATCTCCAAAAATTAGACTTTAGCAAGTCTATTCCGTAGTAGCACGTACATGTACATACCACTGCCGTGGGTTTGGCGGACCCTTGATTACATCATTCTGCATGTGAATGCAGAGTCCCCTGTCCTGGATAACAAAATGGTTCCTGCAGGTGACGATCATTTTCCCCCGGATATTAGTCATTGCCATATGTATTTACACCACTACGATTTATCGGGTAGAATACAGCGTACTTTTGCATAAGCTCTCGCGCATTGCTACATTCATACTAAATAAGTGATGCCTGAGTATTAGTAGAAACGCTTGGCTCTAAGTTGCTGAATCCTAGTCATTCTAAAATCTAATTAACATCGTCTAAACTGGGCGGATATTGATACATCTGAATGTACACGACTTGATCTTGATATCGAATCATATGGGTAGCTCGTTTCACTGCCATTCGGCATCTACCTTCTCCCACTTGTCAAGGAATCCTTTAAAGAATTTAACACCCAGACCCGGATCTAGAGAACCACATGTTGCACGGATAGAATGCATGCTAAGCTGGGCCATTCCAGCATCCGCGGCTTTAATACCCATCGCACTACTCAACATAGGTCCAACTGTGCCACCACTTCGAGAGTCATTTCGGATCTGGAAGACTTGCGGTGTGCAGTCGCTTAACTCAGCAACTCTAGTAAGAATTGCAGTCGATACCGAATCCGTAGTCATGTGGCCATTGCTGTCTGCGGCAATGGTAATTCCAACGTTGAGACGAGGTGCATGTCCGTCTAGGTAACGGGATAAAAAGTTGGGGTTTACGGCGTGGGTGACATCCGCCGACACAAGGAACGACTGCGCGTACGTTTGACCTAGAACGCCAGGCCCAAATGCCTTATCCTCCCCGCATAGAGACTCGACGGCTCTCTCAATTACAGACGGGAGGAAATTTCCCCTTGCACCTTGGCGTAAAAGAGAACCAATTTCCTCATCGTCAAAGAGCGCAACCAGCTTTATAACACCGTCGTCATCGTTTGCCTCCGAAGCTAGCAGACCTTGGAACGCCGCCCAAGAACATAACTTATCATCAATGCGACCAGCAAAAATGAACTCTTTATCCAACCCACCTACAGTTGCGGGTTGGAGATCGAAGAGCTCCAACTCCC